GTACGTTTCAGTTCCTTGTAGATCAGGGATGTTAAGCCTTTGTCAGACCTAGAGTTGGCACATACTTTTTCCAAGTCTGTAGAACGCTTCATCTTTAAATACATTGTGGGTATCTATGGTTGTTTCAGAGTCACCTCAAGTTCCACACAGCTTTAGGAAACAATTTCTGCGTTTTTCTTTCTCCTGTAGACTGCGGGACAAAGGGCCCCCTTTCTCCCTCCCCTGATATAAACTTTGGGAGCCGCATCTCCAAGGTAACTCTGAGGACCTCAGACCTGATTTCACTTCTGCAAACCACCGTGAGACCTGCAAACCTACCTCTCACATCCAGTGCTGGCAGGAGACAGGGAGATGGCAAGAAAGAACAGTAGTGCCTCCCACTACTCCATAGGGTAAAGATGGTGGGGCCAAGAAACAGAGAGTCCAGTGTGCTGGATCATAGAAGTGCTGGCCTGAGGCTATAGCCCATGTGCAGTAACCCTTTTTCCCTTGCTTCCCTTGAAAGACAAGTATAGTAGTAGACTGGATACAGCAGTATTTGTAGATAAATACACAACAGTTTCTGACTACTGATAACAAGGTGAAGAGAACACAGAATTTACTTGATTTACTCATTGGCTGTTCCCTTGAAAATGTTCTTACTTTCAGATTTTCTTCATGTCAACCAAAGAAAATCAAGAAGTTTTACACTTTCTTCATTCCACAGCATACGATTAGCATTTTTTTTATGATTAGCAGGTTAACAGGAAGACACTGTGGCTTTTACAAGATTATAAAAACAGATAAATAGCACATCTTCTTAACTAGGTTGGTGTTTCTCCAAGAAGTAATGCTAGCTAATATAAGTGGAACAGAAATGTCCAGTTTGACCAATCTTTCAGCTGCAATTTATTTCTACCTTTTTAAACAACTAAGAATAGCCACTAACAGAAACTTACCTTCTACTGGGAAATATGTCAAGATCCGCACAGCAATGCATAGGGATAAAATGTAGTCTCCACCACGCATGTAATCACAGAGGAAGCGTTACCTGAACCACTGAGTATGTTGAAATCCCTAGTAATTACCATCATCTTTACCTGCTGCTGTCTTTGCCGCCTCCCCTGTGCAAACTGAGAGAACATCAGCTGCCGATCCAGCAACTCCATCCTCTGCTGTCTCTGGATGTCCACTGTGGCTCCCATCCCAATTCTGGCTTCGTTGGTGGGTTCTGAAGATGAGAAGATGGGTTCCAGTGTCCAAGAGAAGAACTTTGCCATCCAGGTGGGGATGCAGAGTACTTGGTGGACTTGGAACATTTTGCTGTCATAGCACACACCGGAAATCTAAAAGAAAAAAGTCCAACTGGGTTGTTTAAATGTGATACAATTTTAAAGGGTATATTTAACACAAAAACCAATAGCCACAAAACATTTCAGATAGTATTTTTCTTAGTTTTACCAGTTTGGTGGTAAGAGGAACCTCTACCAAACTGCAGAATACTAAGCGGTACAAATCAACACAAAATTTAATTTACTCAGTAAAGGAAAATAATTTTTTGTTGGATTAGAAGAGCTAGCAAAATTTGAACCATTTCACCCTCAAAGTACTGGTGAAATATTTTTAAAACATTGTCTTCATTTTTTAAAAAAGTCATAAAAGATCTGATTATTGAAATATTTTCATACTGCACTGACTCTGTGGTTACCTTACAGAGGGCCATCAGGGAGACATAGCAGAAAACGACTGTGATGTTTAATCTGACCCAGTCACATAACAAACAAATCAGAAAACAAAGATGATCCAAAATCTTGGTTTTTATTTATACAGAGTTTCGATCAATTTTTGAAGTATTGCTTTTTCTAGATTTTTACCTCACCAAAACTAACAATCCCATTTATAAACCAACCTCTTTCTTATCTTTAGGTCATTTATGTGGTAAGAAGTCTTAAGATGCCCAATGGTTTTCCAGGTAAAACTGACTATAGCTAATTCCTTTGTAAAGTATCTTTCATTATGTGACTTTGAGTTTTAGGATAAGATGTTATTCATATCAAATTAGAGCATATTTGACAACTTTCTGTCCAATATGAGAAAAGATATTTCAATGTTTCATTAATAACATTTAAATTAATTAATTAGGCAAGAATTTCTTGAGAATCTGCTATACACTATCCTAGGCACTTAGAGTACAGTACAGGACATGGTAAACCGGGCCCTACTCTTCTAGAAGTTACAGTGGTCACTATGAAGAACAAACAGAAATAAGTTGGACAAGTTCTGGGAAGGAAATAAAAGAGCTTGGAGCAGGGACTTACTCTAGGGTATGCAGTAAGAGGAGCCCTTGGAGAAAGTGATGCCTATGTGAAGTTCTTAAAAATGATGAGGTGCCAGGGACAGAACATTTCAGGCAGAGCAAATGCTACTCAGAATTAATTCAGGAATATCTTTAGACATCTTAGTGGAGCTATCAAGTGGACAATTGGATCTATAAATCTGGAACTCAAGAAAAAGTTAGACTACACTAATATTCTGTGGATGGGTGGAGTAGCAGACACTGGTGAAGACATGAGAAGGGACTGCCCGTGAACAGAAGGGAAACTAAGAGGACTTAGTATCCATGAAAGCCAAGAGAAGAGTGTATTCAGATGGGACTGGCCGGCTGTGTCTACAGCAGCTGACAGTTAAGACAGAGAACTGACCACTGGATGTGGCAAACGGAGGCATCTGATGAACGAGGTGTTTCTAAGGACAGTTTTAGTGCAAAAGACAGACTGTAGTGGGCTGAAGAGCGAATGGTGGAGGACTTCTGGTTTCAAATAGTTTCCATGCCCCTTCTCTCAAAAATAATACAAAACAAAGAACACGAAAACAGAAACAAATTCCATGGTCAGCGAAATCAGAAAGCATTTGTAACCCTAACAAAATGGAAGGCATATTGAATGACTGTAAATCGCTTTGCATGCAAGAAGTTATTCATTCACAGAAATGGAATCCTCAGGTTTGCAAATGCTGCAGAGGGCCCCGGGAAACTCACGCAGCCTCAGAGATTAGAGACACCGAGTACTGAAGAAGGCAGGAGAGAAGTAGTGGAGGTGACTTAAGTCTGTGTAAGAGGGCACCCCAATTCTTCCCCACACCCAGCAGAGCCGCATATCTACCCTCTTTCTCCTTCCCAGTGAGAAGGTGGAAGGCCAGCCAGGTTCTATGCACACCGTGAGGCCAGCAGTATAATTCTTACAGGGGTTCCAGAAGACAACAGAGAAAATGTGGGGGAACGAGATGTAATTGAAAGACCACAGTTAGAGAGTGTTGTAGAATTAATAAAGAATATGGACTCAGATTGAAAATACAAGAGACCCTACAGGGATAATAAAATAAAATTTATCTCTAGATCCACTATAGTAGAACAAAGGAAACCTTAAAAGAAACCAGACATAAAATACAGATTGTGAAGAAAGACAATTAACTATAAGCAGATAACAACAACAAAACCTATAAGATACTTGGGAATGATTTTTTTTTAAATGATTTTTTTAAAAAATGTATTTTTGTAGAGAAAATACAAAAAGTATGAAAACAGATTAAAATAAAAATTCTAATAATAAAGATACAAACTCCATGAATAAGATGCAAAATTGTTAAGATACCAATTTTCATCAAATTAATATATAAATTCAATATAATGAAAAATAAAATCTCAATAGGGTGTTTTATTGAAACATAAATGCCGCTCCTCAAATTCATGTGGAGGCTGGGTTAGGTGGCTTAGTCTGTAATCCCAGCACCCTGGGAGGCCGAGGCAAGTGGATTGCCTGAGCCTGTGGGTTCAAGACCAGCCCGGGCAACTTGGTGAGGCGTTGTCTCTATAATAAATAAAAAATTAGCTGGGCACAGTAGCACGTGCCTGTAGTTCTGGCTACTTGGAAGGCTGAGGCAGAAGGATTGCCAGAGCCTAGCAGGTCGACATTGGGATGGCCGTGAGTGTGCCATTGCACTCTAGCCTGGGTGACAGAGTGAGACTCCATCTCAAAAAAAAAAAGTCATAATAAAAAATAAAAGCTACGGTATGCCAGAATGAAGTGAAAAGACAAGTAGGAAACTGGGAATAGTAGTTTAGAATTCATGTAGCCAACAAAGGTAGCATTCAGAACATATAAAGAAATCCTTGATATTTCTAAGAAAAAGACAAGCAATTCAATTTAAAAAACATATGAAAAGTTGATTTCAGAAGAGGAAACTCAAATGGCTAAAAAATCTCATGAAAAGCTGTTTATCCTCACTTGTTTTTAGGGAACTGAAATTAAAATGAGCAATGTTAAATGACAACTGGCAAATATTTAAAAATCTGATATCATCTAGTTTTGGTGAGGATGAAGGAAAGTGAGAAATCTCACACAGGCATGAAAGGGGGTAAATTCACAGCCCTTCTGTGGAGCAATCTGGCAACAACCAGAAGAGCCGAAATGTGATTCAAGGAATACCCAGTGGCAGTGCTATCCCTAATATCCAGGGCACAGAATCAAGGCATCCACCATAGAGGAAGGACTAAAGTAGACTATTCATACAACAGAAGATTGTACAGCTGTTCAAATGAACAAGATTAAACGTTGAATGAAAATATACATAAATGGTATCACATATTTTATTTTATTTTTGCAAAATTTTAAAACACAAAATACTACTCTATGCTGTATACAGATCCATTCATCTATGCTAAGTACAGAATCACAGAAAACAGCTCCTTCTGCAGAGGGGAGGAGTAGCATTACCTGTAACAAATTACACACACACACACACACACACACACACACACACACACACACACACACAAAGAGAAACATTTGAAGCAAATATGGTAAACAAAAAACCAAGTAAAGAATTAGAAACAATGAAATCGAAATTCCCTTTCTGAAAATCTGGTAGGAAAACAGAAAATGGAGTGTACAACAGCACAGTGACACTGATTTAGCTAAAGACAGCAAAATCTTGCAGTAAACATTTAAAAAATGAAAAATATAAATAAAAAAACCCCAAAATATAAATCAAATTAGAGCTGTGAGATTTGAGTTAAGTAAAAAAATTAAACATTTTTATTTTTAAATCTCAAAATAGCCAACTGCAATCGTGGAATCGTCCATTTCTGCTGTTAGCTCTATTCTAGCGTCAGGCACTTAGAAGCTGTTCACGGGCACGCACACACACTTACAACTCACCATGTCCTCATCACAGCACAGCCTACGTTTTTAGTACTACTCATAAAGAAGTCTATTTTGTCTGATGTTAATATGGCATTTCAGCTTTCTCGTGCTTACTGTTTTCATAATATACCTTTCTTCATCCTTTTATTTTAAGCCTTTTTTTGTGTCTTTGTATTTAAAATGTGTCTTGCAGATAGCATATAGCAGTTTCTTGCTTTTAAGTTGGTCTGACAGTCTCTGACTCTTGATTGGTGTGTTTAGCCATTCACACTCAACGTACTTGCCTTGATATACTTGAATTTTGCCATCTGGGCTCTATTTGTCTCATCTGTTTCTTATTCTTTGGTCTTCTTTTCCTATGTTCTGTTGTGCTAATCATTTATCATTTAGTATTTCATTTTAATTTTTTTAAAGCTATATCTTATTGCATTTCTTATTCTCATATTTGCCCTAGGCATTACAATATGCATTTTTGGCTTATCATACAATGCAAAGAGTTAACACTGAATTATTTCAAGTAAAATACGGGAAGCTTGAAAGAGTATTCAGTCAGTCCTCACTTAACATTATCAATAGGTTTTTGGAAAATCCAACTTTAAGTAATATATAAGAAACCAATTTTGTTCTCCTCCTCAATGTTAGAAGAAACAACGATGATGAAATGACATTAATTGAAGGACATTTTGCTAAAAGTTGCAGTTTCCAAGAACCTATCTACAATGAGGACTTACCACTGTCTGTTCAGCTTTCCCTCATCCACTGGGCCACTTCTGTTTTACGTATTAATGCTCACACACCTTAAAAACTCAACAATATAGTGTTGGCTTTGCTTTAAAAACCATGTTTTTAAACAAGTTAATAAAAATTTAATGAAATGTATAGTTTCTGTCTGTACTTGAGTTCACAGTTTGGGGGAGCTCTTAATCTTATGGGGGGAGGACTTGGGCTCCTTTAAAAAACTGATAAAAGAGCCGGGCTTGGTGGCTCAGCCTGTAATCCCGCACCTTTGGGAGGCTGAGGTGAGTGGATTGCCTGAGCCCGCGGGTTCGAGACCCGCCTGGGCAGTGAGACTTCATCTCTACAATAAATCAAAAAATCAGCCGGGCGTGGTAGCACATGCCTGTAATTCCGGTTACTTGAAAGGC